AAAGAAAAAGCAGGAAAATAAAAGAAACTCGAGCACTTTTCACTTGATAGTGCAAAAAAACCCAACCACAATTTTGTATGCTGCGAACATGTAAATAAGTATTAAAGCTTCTCCTCATTTAAACTGCATTTGGAATATACCAAGCCATTATTTAAAATGACAGAAGAATACAGCTACCTGAAGCCTACGTAAAGAATCTCTCTTTAACAGGCTTTTAAAGATTGCAAGCCAGAGCATCTAAAAAGCACATCCCTGAATAATTTAAGGCTCCTAGCATCTACATTGAAAGAACTTGTTTGCTAAACCTGGAGGAAGGAGAAGAAAAAAAAAAGTAAGAGAAAAAAATAAAGGTCTTCAAGGATGAGCAACAAAATCATTACTAAAAAGTATTTTTCCTATGTTAAAGTTTAATCAGACATGGAGTAGTGAGGATTTAACAGCCCGCCCTTCCAAATTTACTGTCAACAGCTGTGGTCTAACATTAACATTAACATTTACCCCTTGGCAGTGTTAAGTTAAGGCTGTGATGGTCAGGGAAACAATACATGAACAAAATGAAAGAGAAGGAAGGAGACTGATCAAGAGCATGAAGTGCAACACAAATTCTCATTAGCAGAAATTCAATAATAAAAGAAAAAGCAAAAAGCTAGAGTTTATCACGAATCTTAAACAGGTAACCTACATCTCAGAGGGGAAAAAAACCCTCTAAAAGAACAGATGAATATTAATACAAATCATTAAATAAACCCCAAAATATGATTATGCCATTAAAGGATCAGGCATCCTGGTTTGGTGCAGGGTAATCCTTGTTTATAACCAATTGTACCAAGGTCGAGTTACAAATCAGTGTGCTGCTGATAGCATTGAGTTTTCTCTGCCAACTACATCGTTTAGACATCAGCAAATCCTACCTACTTCCTCTTGTGTCTGTCATAGAAACCATCCAAACAATAGGAGCAAGCAATCTTCACTTCAAACGCTATTAACTGCAAGCAAACTGAACAATTAATTCATTTTTACTCCTAGTTTGGAAAAGTCCTTGCTGTTCTACAGTATCTGAAAGCCTTCCCACTGATTACAACCAGTTCAGGATCTGGCTCCTCCTCAGTACATGAGAACAGACCTGAAACAATAGGGGAACCTTATCTGAGGCAGTTAACACAAGTTATACTTCTTAACAAGTAAACAGAGTCTTCATATGGACACTAGAACAGCTTAAGTAGGTCTTACATAAGAATTCAGAAAAAGTGTTAGGTACAGAACATTCATTACAAAAAAAAAAAAACACAAAACAAAAAACCACTCGCACTTTTGTCTTACGCAACTATTCTTTTAGCTACTGAAAGACTACTAGAAAACTACTGGAAGTCTACCGATGTGTGAGGTATAGAAGTAGATTCAGGAGGGGGGAAAGCAACCTCCCCAACGCAGAATTTCCAAGTAAATGCCTACAGAAGTGATCCCTACCTCTTTGTGGAATTTTTCTCTCTTATGAGAATGGAGATGAAAGGAAGGGGTAAGAAAATTGCCCTATTTAATATGCAATTGTCATATTTTTTCCAGTGTAATTGTAAGACGAAAAATTCTTTATGATGCACGTTCTTCTCCCTTAGAACTCAAAAAGTTCAACTGTTGCATAAAGCAGAAGCTTATCAGAAACTAATTGCGATTTGCTTTGCAAATTTATCAGAACAGGCTAGTTCTTACCTACGCTTCATTTAGCTGACTTTTGAGTACAAAATGATTCTTTGCGATAGGTATTCGGAGTTAAAACTGCACAATAAAAAGGTGAAATGAGATGGACCTTTGGACACTGTGACAAAAAAGTGAGGTTTGGGAAGTGCACACATTTCAGAGATTACTGGGGGAGGAGTGTGGGGAGGAAGGATCTCTTCCCAGAAAGCAGAAGAAGAAAATAAATTCAACTTTTAGCAGGTAAACTGAAGTTTAAAGCACTAAGGCAAAGCTTGACAAGCTGGATTCTTAGCTAGTAGAAATATGCGTAAAATCTAGTAACGTCAATAATATCACATAAAGTTATGCTAGCTGTTGATCTCACCTAGTTTCTAGAGCCCACACCTACATATATATATATTACATATATATATATATATAATGTTTGCTTTTTTAAAACTGATTGAAGTTTAACAGCATACTCATAATTGAGATTTTCATGGTTCCAAGCTAGCTTTGAAGTTAAATCCCTAAGTGGATAAAGTGGACTCTATATCTAATCTAAACTAAATGTTTCCCTTAGTTACTAATACCAGCGCTGTTTCACTAGTTGAAATCATTATTGTAGAAAAGAAATAAGAACCCACTGCACTGTAAGGGACATTTAATCCTGCTGTGTGCTAGGACATGGCACGTGCTCTTAGAAATACCAGTTCCTCCACTATATTCCACACCTTTGCTTCAAGAGATGACTAATCTGCTGATTTCTAGGTGAGAAGGTTTTAACCATAGTTTCCCAGCACTGCTGCTGTTACCAGCACTTCTTACAACTCCTTTCCATGTTGCAAGCTTCAAGTTAAGACCACAGATCTACCAAATCTGGTTTTAAAGCCCCTTTTTGAAGGAACAAAGCTAGAAATAAAATGTCACTGCCTTTTGCACCTCGACTGTAGGCTATAACCATTGCAGCACTTCAGATTTCTTTATGTACTGTGTGTGTGACAGGCACACGCACACCCCTATTCCTACAGAACTCCATAAACACAGTTTATTCAGGAAATTTAAATGAGGTTAGAGAAATGAAATGCACCAAAAATGCAGGTGGACCGCAACGTGGCTGCCTGTGGATTAGAAAGTGACCTCCTTCACTGGTGTACATTTCTGCCCTTCACTACCGTTTTTAACTCGGTTATGTGTACTACACACCAAATCTTTGCACTGAAGGCTGGCCCATCCTCTCCTCTGTAAAACAAACAAACAAAAAAACCCCCAACTAAACAGAAAAAAAAAAACAAAGTCAAAAAACTCCTGCTAGACCGCTGGCAAGTAATAGGGCGAGCTCTGTATATGGACTTATAGATTATATATAGTGAGTAATTATAATACAGTTTGAAGGCAGGTTCTGGATGCTAGAGAAAACAGTCACAATTGTGGCACTTCTGCAACAGTAATTTCCCTGTGGCTTTGGTTATGTCGATCTCCGTTCCTGTTTCATAGAGCCCACAGCTACATACATTTTATCCAAGTATATATCTGAAACTCCATAACCTTTGCCAGAGTAACTCTCCAGGAAGCTCTCCTGACCTTTACTTAAGATAAAGAAAGCAACTGAAATGAAGAAATAAATGTTCCTTTGATAATATTGTGTAAGCTGTGGCTAAGGAACTTTGAAATGCAACAGCATTAATAAAATAGCCATGTTAGGAGAATTTCTTTATCACCAAAAGCAGTGACAAGCTTCAATGGGGCTTTTCATTCACAGTTCACAAATTATTTTCCAAGAATCATTGACTTGTTGTGTAACGATAATTGTGGGTTAATAGAAGCCCTAACTGAACTTTGTACTCTTACACAAAGGACGCATGCATACATGACTATATTTGGACACAGCTCTGCACATAGAATAAGAGATTTAATTTTCAATTTAGAGAACCATTTTGGCTTTCCTATCATAATACAAATAATAGTTCGTGAACCCAGAGGTGAACAAATTCTTATAAAGAGCACCTTTAAAAGTGACCATAATTCTTCATTAGTGCATGCATAGGAACTAGTAGAGCAAAAGCAAAAATAAATTGTTTCTGTGCAGGTATACTATCAGTGTCCAGAGGAGGGGGAAAAAAAAAAATCTTCGTTTTCACTACTCTCAATAAGTTCTTCTTAAAACAGTTGCTAAATAACTGGAAAAATCCTCCAAGACTTATATAAAAACTAAACAACTCTGAATTTGTTTTATGGGTTAAAAACTATTTTAATGCAATTTTTCCTAATTTCTCTAATTTTACTCCCAACATTTCAATACGCGAATGCTATATATAACAGGTACCTGATATAGCGAGCTGCAGTAATTGACTCTGATAGGATACGTAATTTAAGTTATTTAGCAAAATGGAAAAGCAACTTTACGCTCTGCTGCGATCAGCAGGCACTGTCTGGAAGAGACCTCTGATGGAGAGATTTGTCATGAGAAAGAAAGATATATAAGGGAGCTGCAAGAAGTCTGTGACTTTATCATATAATGTTCATAATCCCATTTATTTAATATGCCTTTGCAACAAGTTAAAGCCACAGAACAGCAAATATTTCAAAGGGGAGCCAGTGTTTAACAGAACTGTAGCATTTTAGTAGCTAAGGGCAAGATTTCAGGGGCACAGGTTAAAAAAGAAAACAAGTTTGGGAGTGTGTTAAGTAGAGTAGCAAACAACACAACACAAAGCATCCAGCCTAACATAATTCCTGCTTTCTCCCGTTAACTCAAAGGGAAGTTTTGTTTGAGAAGCATTTGCTAAACAACATAACATCTGCTAAAATCCCCTAGAATGCTTCAGCAGTGGCTTTATTCGATTAATTAAATTATACGGAGAAAAATTCTTTACAAAACCTACTGAGAAGCTCAATTTCGGTTCCAGAGGCTTGTCCTCTGTGTCGCACAGTGTCTGCCTCCGCACGGTGCCGACATCCTTCTCCTCCCGCTCTACGGACAGAGAAAGTCCCGGCACCTCCACGGAGCCCTCGGGCACCCGCACTTTTCCCTTGCTTCAGTAGAAGAGGAGGGGGGGGGGGGGGGAGGTGGTGGGAAATAGAGGAGAAGACCCCCCCGCTACAGGTTATGCCTTCAGCCAGAACTAGCTGTCTTGGCCGCACTTCAAAACGCTACTTGCTTCATCTAACTCCTTGCACTGATGTCACCGACCGGCAACAGGAACTATCACGTGACCGCAGGTGACAACAAAATACAGCAAATACGAAAACCCAAATATAAATATATAGATAGATATTATTTAAAAAAAAAACAAAAAAAACGTGATGATTCATACTGTACTTACAACTTTCAGCCTGATAGTCTGGCACAAACTGCTCGTCATTGTCAGGTACCTGAGCTGAAGAAAGGAAAACAAAAAACAAAAAACAAACAAACAAAAAACAAAAACGAGGAAAGAATTAAAAGAAGCCATTAAAGCATAAATAAAGACTCTCGTGCTTACTTTGAAGCACAGGCAAGATTAAAATCAGGGTTTTATTCTCATTGTGGGGTACGGAAATCAGGCAAGAGAATCATTTTAACATTAGACAAATGCTGGGGCGAAGCTCTGCGGCGCGGGGCGAGCCCAGAGCGGCCCAGGTAGACCGCGAGGGCGGCGGGAGGACGGCAAGGCAACGGGCAGCACGAGGCCCCGGCTCCTTCCCCGCACGAGGGGCTGCACCTACCCCGCCATCAGCGTTCATTTGCAAAATACTCCCATGGAACAGCTGCAGAAAAACAAATCCTTGTGTTTAACACTTGCGCATCTCTAACCCCAAAGTACCGCATCTTCGGTATACTTACAAATGATTACAGTTTTCCGTGGCAGTCAGCCAACACACTATGGCTTCTTTTGTTATTATTTTAATTACTCAAAAAGAACTATTTCACCAGACCACAGAATTCCTGTTTCAGTGGCGACATTTCAGACACATCCAAAAGTGATTTACTTAAAGCAAGAATCACTATTAACATCCATGTACCTTGTGTAAGTTCATTTTTGCTCTTAGGAAGCTTCCATTTCAAATCTGTGCTATAAAATACGATTGTTTCAAGGGCTGCTGATGCATAATTTTGCTTCTGTCATATCACAGCTCCTTTTCATTGTATACCTAAGACGTTAGCCACCTCTAATACCGTGCTGATAACTCATTTAAAGCGTTTAAGCTGCAATGCCACCGAACACGTATTATAGGTGAATATAGTACAGGTGAATACATATAAATAATGGCAGAATATTATGCTAAGAAACGGCATCCTCAGAGCACAACTGGTTCTAGATATATCCTGAAACAGATTCGGCTTACCGTAACTGAACCTTGTCATCTTTTGGTCAACATATGCTAACTTGAATCATCACAGCAAAGCTACATAACATTATCTCTTTGAAAATATTTTAACTTACACGGTTCTTGTCTAAAGACAAACAAATAATTCATATGTTCTTAATTAAAAGTTAACATCTGCCATGATCTGGTTACCCAACAAGATTCAAGAGGTTATATAATCATCTATTGAAACAGTGACTATCAAACCGTTAAATATGTGAAATGATAACTTTAAAAGCCTTCAGAACACTTCCCGGATTAGGAAGAACTAAATATACATTCACCTTTATACGTATGCAACTTTTACTAGTCTGAGCAGAATTTGTTTGAATGAAGAATGCATATTTAATTGTAATTACTCACAATTATTTTGAATGTGCACTACAGTACTCTTCTTGGACCAGATCTTCACTCCTTACTCAGGAAATATTTCTAATGACTTAACTGGAAGTTTTTTCCTGGGTAAAGAGTTCAGAATCAGGCTCATCATACTGAAAAGTTATCTGTTATTGGTTTTAAAACAAACGTTTAAAATTCTAATGCCGCAACTACAGCAAATACCCTTTAAGAACAAATGACCTTGGGACCTCTCCAAACATGGATTTTAACAGAAGTGTAAATAAGGTAAGTATATGGAGAGTAATTACCATCACTCTGAGAAAAATACATAGACGTTGTTTTGTTAACAAATACATATGTATGTATTTGCATATGTAGGTACATAACCTACCCTTTTAAGAAGAAATAAATATCTCTGAGAACATGTTAGCGCCTCAAAGTCTAAAGCTGTATAAAACACATATTTTATATGTGTTTTATATACCATATCAAATATTTCTAGTATTTTTGATGCATTAAATTTCTCCTTCCTCCAGAGAAACCACAGGTCTTTTACCAGAAGTGAACTCAGGGACAATATGAGCCCAAATACCAGCGCTTTAAGTTTCTGACCTTTCATGCAATTCACTACATGCAAATGTTAAGCATTTTCCTTACAAAAATGCTAAATATTTGACTGTCACAGAAGAATCCAATTATGAAAGCAGGGTCTCCTAATTAAAAGGCAATTCCTAAGGATTTGTTATATTTCCAGTTGTTTCTGAACGGTTTATGAGTATATAAAGAGTTGAAGTAGTTCTACCAAGTAATTTCATGTTTACAAAAGGCACATCCTGCACATTTTCCTTAAGCCAGCTATCATTTTCAAATGGAGTAAGGATGCTATATATATATAGATATATCAATATGTGTATGTATGAAATAAATAAAAGGGTTCATTAGTGAAACCAGGACCTTTGAAAAAGGCAAAAACAAAAAAAACCTTCCTGTCGAAACCAGGAGGCTACATTTAGTGACTGCAGAATTGGGGCAGCAATTTTATATAACTTTCTAGAGCATACTCAGAGTGCTGGACTGCTTCACCACTGCTTTATTCCAGTTTTATCAGTTTATTTACCCCAAAACAAAACTGTTATGTGGATTTCTGTATGTATCAGCAAAAGGAGATCCTTTGTTTTCCCTGTCCCGGACTGTTTTCCCAGTCAAAGAATGAGTAAAAAATTTGAACACATCCAGTTGAACATTCATGCAAAACCAGTATGTTCATTTGGAGCCACTGGAATTAGCACTGATTTGGTATGGAGTAAACAAGAGAAATATACTTCATTCATGAATCCTCAGAATTTATGCAGACATATTTATCTCTTTATCAGTACTCTAAAAAACAGGTGGAGATTAATGTATTTAAAAATACATTTTGACAACAATATTGACATAATCTTAAAAGCCTCTGTAGCAAAGGAATACAGCAAGTTAAGAAGTGTTTAGAACTCTGCCAAATATAAACAAAACAAAGCAAAGAATAACACTCCAAAATGTTAGACCTGGGAGTGTACATTTCCTACTCAAATCTATTTTAAAAGCATCAGTACCTTCAAAAGGAGCCCACAAGCCTACACAGAGAAATTAACAGGACCACTTTAACTGTGAGAGATGAGAACTCAAAACTGTTAGTCTATTCCTCCGTTTAATCTGGTACCACTTTCAAACTAACAGAATTGCAACTCACACACGATCATATTGTAGCCATCGTCCACCCAGTACACAGACTTCTTCCACCAGCATCTTGCTGTGAGAAGGCAAATGGTTTGGGTAGATCATCCCATTACTCAAAGAGAAGGGGGCTTTTATAGCCCGAGTCTGGATAATTAGAGGCAGCCTTTAGAGCAAATTAAACCAGCAGACAAATAAGTAAAGACATTTTAACTCGCACTTCTGAAAGGAAAATGTAACTCGGACTGTTGCAACTGTCTGCACATTTATATACGCATGTCATTCGTTTCCTCTTTTCTTTTAGGCACATAGACTGCAATTCAGCAAGGCTGCCATAAAATCTTCATTGGTCTTCTGTTAACATACTCAACACAAAGACACAATGCATAAATCATGAAAACTTTCTCACTTTGCCATTCAGAAGTATGTCGGAAAAGATATCTGAAGTGATCATCTAACTGAATGAAAATATTTCCCTGAACTACTTAATTATGGGGGTTTGAGAAGGGAAGTATATACCAAAAGACTAATAAAAGGTTTTCAAGGATATTAAGCACGTGGCTTTTACTGCTAATAGCAGAAGCAGCTACATAGCTCATTCTGCATTCATAGCCATCAAGCCTCAGACTCCTGAAGTGGACAACATCTGCACCACCAGCTATCCAGCTCAGTCTAGATTATTACCAAAAGTTCTGTTTTTTTCCTGTCTCTACCAATAATGTCTCAAGAGGATTTGGGAAGTGTACAAAAACGTTAATTATGATCTCGAGGATGTATCAGTTTAGATTTTACAGCTTCACAACCTACTCAGCTGAAATCAATTTGCCAAAAGCAAACGTTCAAAGCAGAAAAAGATTTAGTACCTGTCTGTAGTTTTCAGAGGCTTTAAAAAGCCTCTGAAAAGCTGAACTTACGGCATATTTTCCAAACGGAAAGCAAATCAGAAAAGCAAAAAAAAAAAGTTTAAAACTAGGCCCCTTCGCTTGCTTTCACTTCATGTAAACAAAAAGTCACCATTAACAAGCATCCAGGACAAAAGGAGTTAATACTTAATTAAAACCAGCTCCATCCACTGTAACAATGACCTGGAGCCAAACAAGGCAGAAGATGTATGAGTCATTCTTTCTGCCAGTGAATGAGACAGCTGATCTCCTAAGCAATTCCTCAAGACAAGCAGTCAGAACTGGAGTTCTGCCTCCATTCACAAAAACACAGTCCAGCATGAACCATGTGGCCCCAACCACAAGCTTTTCATGTCACACCCTTCCAGAAAGCTACAGCAAAGTAAACTTGAACTTTAGGCATAAACACACTGATTTCACTGCTTTGTCTCAAGATGTAGGACAGACCTGCTGAGGAACGTATTTAATAAATGAAAAGTTAAGCAAACTGAAAAGGGCTTAAATTTAACTCTTCCTTCTCCCAATCACAGAGCACTTCCAAAAGCTCCACCGTGCTCGAGGAGAGGTGTTCCTGTCAAAAAACGGAAGCTTGCCAGAAAAACAAGAAGCTGCAAACCTCCTTGCTTCACTTCAGAACTGTATTTTGGATATGGTAATATTTCCTACGGTACTGTGTTCTCTGACCCCAAGCTTCACTCACAGTTAAGAGCAATTTGTTTCAAAATAGCACAGATTTACTCAATTGAAATTGACAGGAAATTACTTATAAATAGTAATATTTTGGCTTGCTCTAGAATAAGACTTCAGGCCACAAAAGTAATGCGCCTACTGAGTTTTGCTGGATTCCTTATCAGTTCTGAATATCTGAAAGACTGCTTAAAATTTAAGTATTCATGTAAGATTTTTTTCTTTTTTTTTTCTCCAAGAGGAACAACTCTTTTTAACAAAGGAGCATTCAGAAGGCAACAGTGACAAATTTCAAGATGGAAAAAAAATATTTCCCATAAGCACAGGATCTGCTGTCAAAACAACCCCAAATCCTTTTTACATAAAGTGAGATTCTCTGACTAATAAACTTAAATGCAGTTCAAAACTAGCTCCAGATCTCAAAATTCTTCCTTATGTGAATAAGCCCTAGGAATATAAAGATGGGTTTGCAGAATCTGCTCCTCATTTGGTGCTTTACCAAAAATGAGAAAAAAAAGTTAATTTAAAAGGAATACTCATATTTTACATTTAGCTATATCCCTCATGGTTCACTAACCCCACTATGCTGTTGTATAAAATTATTATTCTGAATAAAAGGCATTTACTTTTCCAGCAAACAAGAAAACTGTTAAAAAGCCTATTGCTGTCCAAGCTTTCAGGCTTTGTAGATTTCTGGTGGGCTATTTGTTTTGGATACTTTTTTTTTTTTAAAAAAAACAAAAAATCCCATCTTTTTTGCCTAATATAACTTTTGCCCATTTTTTTGTGCACAGACACTGAAGATAAAGTGTTTCAAAGACTGGGAAGCCAAATCAGTCAAATGACTAGAATCCAAAAAAAAGAAGCTATCTGCTGTATTGCACACCACAAATTTAATGATAGTTCCTCAATACGAGCTTCATGGCATTTACCTTACACTAAGTGAATTTTAGAACTTTCTGGCAGAATAAAGCTTGTTACCTGGTATAAGCTGCTACACTTCACTGATTTAAATAAAGCCACCCTAAGTAAGCTAATATTTAAATATCTAACACTTTCTTTTATTAAAAATCTTCCTTTGGAAACTATAAACTGCTCATTTTCATACATCCTTATTTTTGGAATAAATCAGATGGCAACAACTGGATCAGACATCACCGCGATGTTATACTTCACAGTAGGAGATTAGAGGGCAGAAACTTCTTTCCTAAAGTTCATCCCAAATTTGGGTATTAATTACTTGGGAAAACACGCTTATTTCCAGATACCAAGTATTAGTTTTTTCATATTAGTAACTTATCCAAGAAGTGAACCATCTACTTAAGCTAGCTAAGCTGTGGCAGAGGTATAACCCGTTACCTGTAGCTATTACTTCAAATCAGGTACTATTCACTTAAGCATTTTTCAGTTTCTCACCCAGAGAACATAATATTTTATTTGCAAATTTACTGCCATCCAAGAAGGGAACTACCTATCGCTCCAAAAAGTGGATCTTGTGCATAAACTCATAACTTATCATTGTTTTGATGACTATTACACATCTTTAACAAGCTTTAGGAGGAATTAGTATCAGAAAAGGGTATTTTTAACAACTTATCTAATGTTTTGGTTAATCTATTATTCTCCTAACCCCAAATGCTTTAACCATGCACAGGAGACTTTTGCTCGCTAAGAATTCTTCTGTCTTCCTTTTGTTCCAGAAAAAGGAGTAACAGCTACCATGACGAGATAACATGAGATTAATATTTGAACCAATCTTTTCAAGTCACTGAACAATTGCTATCTGCCAAAACCAATCTAATTCCAAATATAAAGAATCAATAAAGGCATTTTATAATATTATCATGACAAAATGTTGCCATCAAGTTATTTAAATATAAAACAAAAGATAATATCTGAACAATATTTGCCTTGGTTAGCCAAAGGCAATTTTAACTATTTCCTTTCCAGTTTGAAGGCTGAAACAGTTTACTGAGGGCTGGAATCAGGAAACAGTTACAATCTATCCTCTGTCCTGAACAACAGTTGGCACTAGGGAACCTAATTTAGAGCAAGTTTTACACCAAAATAATGTAGATTCTTTCTTATACATCTAACACTGCACAAGGTAGAAACCAAAGCTCACTTCCGTAAAAATCTAGCATGCAGCTAGTAGCCCACATTTCCAAGTTTTCTGCAAGTGGTATTCAACTTGTTAATTATGGAGTAATTAAAATATTAAAGAGGTTACTGAATTGTTTACATTTGGAATTAATTCTTCCATACATGTGAACCTTCCACCATTTTCAACAGGAAAGAATGCATTTCTTTTGTGTTTACTTGCTCACCACCAACTTTCCAGAGAATACAAGTGACACTAACTGTAAAAATCTCCAGGCTAATATACGTGATGTAGTAAAGATACCTTCGGGAAAAACAAAACAAAACAAAAGCAAACCAAAACAAAAAAGAACCTGCAAGCATTCTTTGTGTGCAATAAAAACACGACTTACTTTCTTCTCCCAACTAATAAGTAGATTTTTGACCTGGTTACTCCCCAGTAGGGATCTGAACTCGTGGGAGAAACCTGGTCAGCTGCCACTGCTTTTCTTAAAAAGGGTCAAGATGTTTTAAAATTTCATGGTCATTTCCCTGGCTCCAGAGCATTATGAAAAGAAATATGTAAACATTACTGATGCTGCCAAATTGGCAAACTTCTAGCCTATGAAGGTCCAGAAGAACATAAATGGACACATCTAGCAATGGGTAAACAAGTCTGATTTCAAAAAAATCTATTTCCTGGCTAAGCTCACTCATGTAGACATCTGAGCAAAGCTACAATATCCTCAAACACCAATATATCATAGACTGCTGAAAAGTGGGCTTTTTTGTTTTAAATTGTAAAGGAGGGTTCAAACTAACAGATCAATATTTGATTTTCTCATCTTGACGTTTTATTTCAGTTTTAGTTTAGCCTTTAGAAAGGCTGTAAAAAGTTTGTGTTTTACGGAAGAGCTAAAACCATGGCATGGTCTGAAACATACAGAGTTTTAAAAATATTTCTAGAACATTGGAAAGTCTGTATTACTTAGTTTTAATATGCTGTGGAAATTTATAACTATACAATTCTGCAGCTTTATTATTCTCTGCCATGCAAAAATATAGATTTTTTTTCCCCACTTTTAAATACTTACCAGATGATGCTATCTGCATTTACAAAGGTTCCTTCACCTAGCTGATACAGGATTAGACACCTCTCTCTCTCTCTCTCTCTCTCTCTCTCAAATCCTAGCTAAATTTATCAAGTGAAGTAGACTCAGCTAAAGAAAAAAAAAAGAATAAGGCTTTCAAACATTTCATTCTAGCCTGAAATAAGCACAGTGGCGCTAGAATAAAAATTGTCATTACAGTTACTTATGTACCTATAGAAATGATTAAATCAGTTTTAAATTCCGTATTATTTTTCAAACTTACAGTATTAGCTGCATATACATTAGGAATCCGTCAGTACTTTTCTGACTAACGATCACAGAAATTTAATCATTTTCAGAAACAAAAACATGCATAACTGATCAAACTAAAAGTTTTCCCTTCCATCAAAAATATCATATATTGAATGACACATGAAATATAATATCATATACTGATATTCTAACATCCTTCTGGTTTGTTAGAATGAGTGAGACAAGACAAAATAAGAGATCTTTAGTAAAATTACCATAAGGAAATAGCTACAATTGTATCTGATCATTTATATTATAAAAAATTATCTTCTTGCAGGACATTCTGTTTTCAGTGATTAGAAAAGAATCACAGTAATTCACAAAAAAATATAAACTCTGTTCCATGATTTAAAGGAAGACTTTTTGATTATATACAGAATTGCTACATGCTAAAAATAATGCTAGGAGAATAAAAATGTCAGCAAAATTAACATAACCCCACGACCTATTTATAGGTTAAGGACTTGACTAACTACGTATAAAACTATAAAAAAAAAACACACACACACAAAACAGTATGCAGCCAAGCAGTCACCAACAATATTTCCTTCTTTCTGTAAAAAGCAGCAGCAATCAGTTCACCCCAACATCTCTCCTTCCCAAAGAAGCAAAACACCTATTCTATAAACAACTGTGCACAGTCCAGTACATGATAAAAAAATTAAAACATATGTCAATACACACATGTATTTAAGTCAGAACAAATTTGCAGAAATTATGTTAACTTGAATCAAAATCATGTTTACTTTAGATGCAGAAGTTTACATTAAAAATTCAACCTGAACTATATTAAGGTCAGACAATGTGTAAGAATTTTTATGCTTAAAAATAAACAGCACTGTAAATATCTAGGGAAAAAAAAAATCATAAAATATTGCTGAAGTGAACAAATACACTTCCACAAGCAGAAAGCTCCCTTGCATTTTGTTAAAGTTCTCCTGTAGCAGCATCTCATCTTTTTGTTATTGGTAAATGAATCTCCCAATAGCTACTCTAAGTTCAGATTTCTATATTATTGTTTTTAAATCCTCAGTAAGATGTGCCCTGAAAAATTAGTTGAAATACTTAAAAAAAAATAAAAATAAAAACCACATACACCAAGCAGGCTTAAAAAGACCGATGTCAGTTTTCTAACAACCGAATACACAATCTTACAGCTACAAATATGAAGAAAAGAATAACATGCAAAATATTCAGAGAATTCTGAAAAAAACAAATAGTACTTTTTAAGTATTCCATACACACCTAGTGTTCTGTGTTGTGAACAAGGTGGAAAGAAGACACTTGCACTTAAATCTTGAAGCATCCCGTCCCGATGAACCCAGAGAAACTAATTTCTGCCATCAGAAAAGTACTCCACCAGAACACCAAATAATTATATGTGCTGCTCTAAAGGAAACAGCAAGCCCAGTTCTGGCTGTATGTAGTCTCTCGAGGTACAATAATATAAACCTGATCAATTGCAATTAAAATCTGAACAGAGGCTTAGAACTTGAAGTCTTGGTGCATTAGTTCTTGCCAAAAGCAGATGTGATTGTGAGCTGGAAGCAATTTCTCCTGGTAATTTGTGATGACACTGGGTAGAGCAGCCCCAGAGTCCCCAAAGACAAACTCATCAGAGGCTCTAATGTATGCATGACACATGAGGTGGCTCTTTTAGAGCTCAATTAATTGGGCTGAACATTAAGACAGCAAGTTCAGGACTTTTTTTTTTCCTCCAGAGTTGTTTTTCCTCTTTTTACAAGCAGTTTTTTTCCCTTACCTTCTGCAAGCCATGTCTCCTGTAATTGGCTCAGATCTTGAAAGAGTTCTGCAAAAAGATGAAGACATGGATAAAACACTCTCTCCTTTAATCTCTTCATAAGACTAAAATATGCTCAAAAATGTATCTTTCCTGAAGAACAATGTCTGTGAACTATATTTTGGCAGTCAAATATATAGACAAAACTAGATATTTTCAGGTTGCAGTTAATGATTTTTCTACTCCAGTTTATACAAAAAAGTACTTATTGTATCATTTAATCAGCTCTTGAAATTATAACCAGAATCTTAACCAAGTTCTACAGTAAAAAATGCTTATTCAGCAACACATAGAGAAATGATCATCTTTCTAACACAGGTGAACTATTTCTCCTCATGTAACACAGGCCTCCTCTTGTAATATCTGCTTAGACAAAACTCTCTGACTTCAGTGCGAGCTCTGCCTGAGCAAAGACTGAATATCCTTTATTAGCAGTGTCATAACTATCACACCAAAATTTTGAAGTAAAGACCGCAGATGCTGAGTAGCAAATAGAAATAGCACTTCTTATGTACTTCCCCTTATGTTTCAGTGTGTACCACAAGAGAATCACCACTAATTTCTCTATACTGTGCTCACTGTAATTCTTTAAAGTGAAACCACTTTCTCCATGGACTGAATTTAACAGCAGCGTTTCTGCAATTCACTGAAATCAATTACACATAATGGGTGTAAACGAGAGCAGAGTTTGGCTGATTTGCAAAGCTCAGAAACTCAGTTATGAAAATGTTGTTTACGGACAACTAAGACTAAATGGGATGTTTGAACAGACAAATGGTTTATTTTTAATTTACTATATTTTGAGAGAGATTTCATCTTTTATGAATGCTGACAGATAGCTATTTACATATACTTAAATGACAGAGGCTATTCATTTATCTGGTGGACTGATACCTCATATTCATGTTGGGAAATCATTTAACTGTAAATCAGAAAGTTGTTTTCTTTTCAATCTATATTAGACTAGATATAAACTCTTCCAAATAAATTTGTAGGGATTTTGAGAAGCATATCAGCGCATCCTCAACCTACTCTGATGAGACTTACCAAAGTAGCAGGCCCCTGTAAGTATATAAGACATATAGCAATGTGAGCATTTACTGACCTAAGTATATACCATGTAACCTAAAGAAGTGTTACAGTTATTGCTATGCTATAGTTTACAAGCCTGAATCACGTGAGTAGCTACTGATGGGACTAAGTTACAAGCCTTTGGCCCTCCAAAACTTCTCCCATTCTAGACGCTCGTAACAGCATTTCCTAGGACTTGCTAACGTTACAGCAATAGAAACAGGCTACCACAAACCTGGAGTTTGACTACTAGTTCTGCTATAAAGCTATCGTGAAAAATAACAGTTGCCACCCTCCTGCTACCACCCGTGAACTTATACCAATGAGAAGAATGTTAAGAGACTGGAGAGATGGGGCAAGTCCCGAATTTCGGAAGGCCTGAAGGTGAGAAAGCCAGGTGCGCTCTGCTACTGCAAACCTGTGCCTCAGTGCATAACATTTAACTACCACATGGGCAGGAATACCTAAAATGCAACAGGATAACTCAAGGAAGAAATATCAACTTTAGCCTTTGCCAGTTTGTTTTGCAACTGTGAATGCAATTTTCTTGTCTTGTTTATTCTAATTGATCTAGATAAATATATCTCCAAAATAAATAAATAAAGAGCTCTCAAAAAGCTTCTCTGCATTAGTAAGTAAAAAGGGGGGGGGGGGGGGGGGGGGCGGCCTCACCTTCTGAATCATGAGCCAGGTCTCTGTTAATGAATTTTCTTTTCCTGACATTTGTCGGTCTCTCATTACAGTTTCTCCCACGCGGATTCTATAAACAGGAAAGATCAGTTACTTTAGAAATCTGAGGGTTTTTTTTTTTTTTAAACAAGAATACTCAAAGCCCGCACAAATTCTTTACATTTTCCAACAGGGAAATGATCATCTTAGAGCCTCTATTCTTAATCACTACATACAGTTTGTAGCAAAAGATTTTGCTGAGCACCTAACATTCTCCAAAAGATTCCTGTATCTAAATACAACACATTTCTCTCAGTCTATGTAGACATCTATTTGTACAGATAAGTATGTGATGTGCTCAAGCAGCAACACAATACCAACCATGTATTTTTAGCATCTAAAGTACACAAACCTACACAATAGCACATAAATCCCCTCTGCATAAGCTATGCAGGAGAACCCAAATATGAGGAGATAATAATAGACTGCTTTGTTTGCCAGTGTTACTTGTAAAATTGTCTGCAAAATCCTGAAAGCAAAAGGCAGGGGGGGGGGGAAGGAGGAGTGAGGAGGAGGGGGAAGAAAAAAGAAAAAGATGTTAACGTTTGCCTCAACTTCATTCTTCAGAGTGTTGCAGGCAAACACAGCCAGAAACTTTGAATGCAGCTGCTGTTCTTGCCCTTCTCTTCCATTAATCGTGTGCATGATTTTTTAATCATCCCAAAACTGTCTTTAAAAGAACATGATGCTTTATTGAAATAACTAAGAAGATAAGCTCGTCTTGCAGGCAAAGCTTCTAGATGAAGAGTCGCCCCTATAGCGGTAACAAAGCAGATACTCTGTCTGCAAAACTCCCCCAGAGAAAGAAGTCGGAGTCAAGTTTATAAACACCAACTTTGAACTGATCACTCACATTGGTGACCATGTAAGGCACTTGCTGGTCATAAAATCCATCCATTCTGCAGCTCTTCCACAAGTCTTAGCTCAGTGTTTTATTTACTGGGCATTTGATCTGGAGATTTCTTCGGGATCTGGACTCCAATCAGCCTAGAGGGGAATACAAGATGGCTTTTAGATTAAAAAAAAAAAATCATGAATGAACTGCTTGAATTTGCATAGCTAATTAACCTCAAAGAGTCCCATTCATAAAAACAACCCTCCCTTCTCTGCCTTCACCTGGGTTACAAGCTTCTGCCAGGGAAACACGGAGCAAAAGCACTTTGAAGCAGCAGCAGAAAGCAAAGCGAGAGGCAGGGTTTTATTTACACTGCTGCCGTATCCCCCGGGCGATCCGTGCAAGTGGCAGCACTGATTCGCAAACGTGTGCTGAACTCGTAATGGCGAACACCAGCGCTCGCCTTGCACCTAACGGGAGTGGGGGAGAGAGAGAGCCAGCGCCGAGCCAGCCGGGGACACACGCACCACACATACACACACACACACACGCACACACGCACCACACACACACGCACGCGGAGCTACCTTCTCCCAAAGGCTCGTTTTTGCAAGCCACGACCACGCAATCATCTGGAGCGACGGACAAAGTTGCAGGGAAGACCCACCTGAAGGCCACGCCAGGCGATCGGCTGCAAAAAATTCCCTCCAAATTTAATAAAAACATTAATTATCCCCCAGCACTTCCCCCTTGGAAGCAGCGAGCGCCACTGACAGA